ATTTCGCCTCGATGCGTATGTTTAACTCCCATCATTTCCTTAGTCGACATCTAACTCTATTATAGTTATGCCGTTCTTGATCTTCAACCTGGTGTCCCTGACTCAGACATCAAGATCACTTACCGCAAGAAGTCCCTGCTCATCCATCCCGATAAAACAAAGAACCCACTGGCACCAGATGCCTTCGATCGGCTAAAGAAGGCCCAGACAGAACTAATGGACGAGAAGCACCGTGCAAGACTAGATGAAGCTATCGCAGATGCACGAATGTTACTTATCCGCGAAAACAAATGGACTGTGGACAGCGAAGAGCTCAAGACGGAAGAGTTCCGCAAGATGTGGCGCGCAAAGGCCCGAGATGTTCTCATCGACAATGAGCATCGCCGACGTCGTCAGATGAAAGCCCAACTCCAGGAAGAAGGCCGTGAACAACGCCGTACCGATGCTGAGATGGAAGAGCGTAAGCGCAAGCGACAGCATGAACAGGACTGGGAGGCCACTCGGGACGAACGGATCAGCAGCTGGCGACAGTTCCAGAAGGGATCAGGTGGCGAGAAGAAAAAGAAGAAGAAGCTCAAGCCTATCGGCTAGAGACCTTGGTATTTCGCGACGGAGTTTACTTGGAAGACAGCACGAAAGGACACGGCTACACTACACAATGTCGCGCTGGTATGTGAGTTAAATAATTATGATGAACGGTTTGGACTCTAATCAAGTCAGACAAGGTGCCACAAAGTTTCATTCCTCGCTCGATTTTAGAAGCGTCAGTTTTCAGCACGGTAAGTCCATCATGAATGTGACGTGTCGTTGACGTAGACCGCATGCTCTATTCGTAGTATCATTCATATCCAGCATACACCGTTGAGTGATTTAGACTACAATTCAATGAGGAGAGTGGCCTCGTTGGAGCATCCTAGCCCCCCTTTCTATACTACAGGATTAGTATACAACAGATCTGATGCAGTTTGGCAGATCTACATGAGTAGTTGGGCTGTCATAACCCTCCACCAACACCATACAAATATTATGAACCTTTTGAACACCAACAATGCGCTTCTCCCATTCTAATTTTAGTGATACCCCCAATATATGATACACATTATCATCAGTCAGAAGTTATTTATTTCTTATCCTTATCATCAGACTTCTTTGAGTCGTCATTTTCGTTTGCATCTTCATTCGCCTTTTGGTGAGCGGGATTGTTGGTGAGAGTATGCCAAAGCGATTTGAGGAAGCCCTCATTCTTATGCGATTCAGTGTCATTTAGGTCCCTTGGACGGTTAGTGTCAATTGCTCAAACCGTGTAGGCTGCAATCAGTGCCTTACCTAGAAGAACCGACACCCATCACGCGCTTGGCAGTCTTATCACCCATTTCGTCGGCAAGCAATTCAACAATAGTTCGCTGGTTGGCGGTCAAATACTTGGGCATGGTGACTCGGTATTCAACCCTGAGATCACCGTTGATACCACGTCGAGAACCAAGGCGCTTCATGCCCATACCGGGAAGTGTAATCTTATCACCGGTGTTGGTGCCAGTAGCAACCTTGACATTAACTGTTCCATCCAGAGTAGGAATCTCCACATGTCCACCCAGCAAGGCAGTTGTAAGAGGAATATTGGCCGTGTAAAGAATATTGGAGCCGTCTCGGCGGAACTTGGGGTCCTTGGCAACTCGCACAAAGAGGTATAAATCTCCGTTCTGGCCGCGAACATTGGGGTCGGAAGATCGGCCAGTAGCAGGTGCGTCACCAGCACCGTCAACCCGAAGTCGCATGCCGTCCTCGATGCCAGCAGGAATGTCCACCGTAATTGACTTTCTCTCCCTCACAACACCGTTTCCTGAGCATGTCTTGCACTCAGATCCCTTGGGGATAACCGTACCCGTACCGTCACAAGTTCCGCAAGTAGATGCCATTTGGAAGCCACCCTGCATGAAGTGTACTCGAGTTCCAGTTCCATCGCAAGCACTGCAAGCACTTCTCGATGTGCCGGCCTTCAGACCGTTACCCTTACATGTGCCGCAAGTGCTAAGTGGTGTGAGCGAAATCGTCTTGCTTGTGCCCTTGGCCGCCTCCATAAAGCTGATAGTGGCTTGGACCTCGATATTGTCACCAACCAAAATCTCCTGCTGAGCTTGCTGTCGTCCACGGCGGCCGAAACCCTGTTGTCCGGTAAAGGCTGAAAAGATATCTTCGAAGTTGACGCCGGCACCGAAACCTCCCTGTCCGCCAAAGCCGCCGAATCCTCCTTGTCCTCCAAATCCTCCGAAGCCAGAGAATGGATGACCTCCACCGAAACCACCACCACCGGGGGCACCTCCTCCACTGGGATCGAAGCCAGCGGCGCCGAATTGATCATACTGCTCGCGTTTCTTGGGGTCGGATAGAATCTCGTATGCGGATTGAATATCGGCGAACTTATCCTTGGCTTGGGGGTCCTTGTTCGTATCGGGATGGAACTTCTTCGCTAGGCCGTAGTATGCTTTTTTAATCTCGCCGGGGGTTGCACTCTTGTTAACACCAAGAGCTTCATAAGGATCCTTCTGCTGTACGGCATTTGTAGCATGAAATAACTATAATACATCAGAAGTGTAAAACTTGGTCAATTGGTATTGTGCTACTCACCCGCTTTGTTGAAGGAGCTCGAGTCCTCTTCTTCACAGAGGATCGGTCCTGATAGCCGACCCGCCATGCCGCAGTGTGAAGCTGAGCACCTTTCCTTAAACACTGAATCTTTGGTGCATTTTGCGCCAGGACACGCGCGGGAGCAGCGGCCTTTGATATCAAACTGGGGTTCATCTTGATTTGCAAGAATTCATCTGACTCTAAAAAATTTACAAAGAAATGCAAAAGGTGCAACGAGGGAAGATTGAAACGTCACGAGCAACTAACGGAATAGCTTGTGCTTCTCTTTTTTTCGAGACCTATCTCGAACTTTTCCATGGACAAGCCTCAGGCATCAGCTTCGTCATAACGGCCGGCTTCGGCTGCGCTTTACGGGGAAGCTCATTGGTCAAGGTTTTATAATTTCAGGAACGAAAGCCAACAAAAAGCTGTCAGTGTTATAATGAATTTAGGTCAGGCAGTTGATAAAATAGTCAGACTTTATGGTCTTTAAATTTAAGTCTGTGTTCTATGTAATTTACAGCTATTCAATGCCACAAATTCTCAATACTCGAGTTCCATCACAAAGATGAAAGTTGCTGTCTTATGCCGAAAGTACCCCGACTAACCGATTGTCCAATTCATGAGAAGCCGAGAACAGGCTATAGAATGCCGTGATTCTTGGACAGGCCCAGCGATGAGTCAGCCAGATCATTTGTCATATGCTGTACTCTGTCCAAGACTGAAATTTGAATGAGCGATTGTGTCCTCGGCTCTCCCCTGTCACATTCATTGAGCACGGCGCTTATTTTTGAGCTAGTGATAAATTGCTGGGTTGTCATGATAACTCCCCAGGCAACGCCAGCACCCATTTTTAATGGCCAACACAAAATTCAAAGTCGAAGATGAGAAAACAATGAAACAGATAAAAAGAGAATAACTGTGCCTAGTATTCGCTTTCTCTACCTGAGATGCCAGAAGGCACTTATACCCATCATGAACTTTGGGTACCTGAGTACCCTGAAACAAAGTTTAAAGCAGCCCGTATCCCGTCCTGCTTAAAGTGGTATCCTTATGATGTAATCTGAATCCGCGCAAGACATTCAAATCTGTGTCGTGAGTATCTGTATGCGACCAATGCAATCATGCCCGTCTGCTTACGCAGCCTTTGTAAAAAGGAAATTCCCAGGTCGCTTGAAGAAACTAGTGCTATACGCTTTCGTTAAAACGCCAATAACTCCATACCAAACGTAACCATCCCTTGCGTAAAACCCATCGCCTATCAGCGCGCTTATTTTGCGAGTCTCGAAATCTTGCCTCCCGCGTAGGGTTTGGAGATGCGATTAGGATCGTGACGAATCTTGTAAATAAAGTCGACGATGACGTCGTTCTCCTGTACGCCCATTCCGTTGAAATGTTTACGCACGGCGAGTGCGAGCTGGTCTTTGCTCTGACGACGAGCTTGTCGGCGTCGAACCATCGTAGGAGAGTGGATGCCAATGCCGTTTGGCTGCGATAGGATCCATTGGCAGTATGGGTTCGAGAAGGAGGTCGGTGTGTTTAGGCGGTGCTCACGGCGGTAGGCATGAAGTACATCTCGGTCGAAGGAGGCCCAGTGTAGCTGAGAGAAAACGAATTAGCATCATGATGCAGAATCAAAGCGACCATGGTCTGGTAAGCGCTGAACAGAATGTGGTTCGACAAAGAAGACTTTGGCTTGAACTTTCAAAGAGCTCCAGGACGACAGATTAGAGCTGATACTTTGTACAATATTGTGCCGCAACTATTCTCCGGTAGTCATAGGATACTCTTGAAGTCTGTTGACCATCTCTCGACAGCGCGACCGTAGATCATGGGGAGCGGAGGGGTTGACGAACACTAGGGGGTGAAGGCTCAGCAGGCGGTTGAGGGGGAGCAGCAGCGGCAGCATTTTGGACTTCGCGAAGGTGAGAATGGTTCTGTTGGCTGGCGTTTCGACGCATCTTTGTTGAGGTATGACCATTTCCACCCTTTTCCTTGGAATTGGGAGCGTCGGCCTTGTCATCGTGGTTGCGGGATGATTTTGCGGGAGGCATGATGAAAAAGTGTGTTGTCGAGTTGTCGTAGGAAACTGAGGACAACCGTAGAGGGGGCTCGATCACATAATAATAGAACAGTACTGAATTGGTCAAACGAGTTGTGGGAGCAAGGAAATGAGAGGGGAGAGGGAGGAGTTGGCCGGAGTCGGTGCGTGATCACGTATTTTTCGGGTCCGTAAAGGTGTTATTGGAGTACGGGGTACTGATGGCGTAACGGTACCCCAAAGCCTAAGGTACGCACTACAGCTCTTGCCATTCTTATACTGGTATGCTGGTGCTGGATCTCAGCGAAAGTTCCCCACTTGCAAAAGTGGACCAGCCGGGCTGGCGTAATGGCTAACGCGTCTGACTTCTAATCAGAAGATTGCGAGTTCGAGTCTCGCGTCTGGCTTCTTGCTTTTTTGCACTTTTCAACATTACAGAATGTTCAGATCTGTTTTGCGATCACAGAAAATGTGTTTTTAAACCAATACGACTCGAAATGGCGAAGTTATAAGCGATTTGGTGTTTCCATTCGTATGCCACCTAACCCCGATATTTACCCGCACTGGCCAATGATGACAAATTTATCGGGGTACCAATGACGTATACTAGTCCTCGTCACCTAACTCGAGGCATCTTCTTCAACTTATCACTTACCATCTCGTCCATCAAGTCCATACAAATATCAATTATCGTCAAGTCGATCAGGACGGCGCAAAAAGAATTCGACAGGCTCGATCAATCAGTTAACAATACACAAGTGTGATATTTATGCCGATTACTTTAATGAAAGGCAACGGTGATACCCCCAAAATTCCAGATCTCGAATTCGATGTTTTCTTTCTCCCTAGACACCATCGCTACGCCAAGCGATGGACGTGACGTCCCGCGATACACTAGCCAATAGCTAAGGAGGCATTTGATGGTAGACATCGGGAAGTTGATAATGAAGGGATACCCGGCGCCGTCAACACCGTCGCTACGCCAAGCAATGGGCGTGAAGCCCACGACACACTGGCCAATAGCTAGGAAGGCATTGTGCTGTGGACGTCGTTGGGCGATTGAGCTACTGCATGTCGATCGGTTACGCATAATGGTCCTGAACCACACGCATGGTGTTGAGAGGTGCAGACCTAAAGGACCATTACACACTATGACCCTTGAAGGGGCCTTTCCTGCCTGTTCACTTTTGGTCTTGCGGTCTTCTCAGCACATGGAGTCGGATGACTCAGATGTGCACGTTAATTTTTGCGTTTTGTGTTCAGAAATCTTTTGCGATCCAATGTGTTTTTACATTGATACGACACGAAATGGTGGAGTTGTGAGGTGAAGAACATATTTGGTGCTTCCACTCGTACTGGAGCCCAAGCCTGACGTTTGCCCGAACCACCGACCCGGAACCTGGAGTTCAGTATCAGTGCCTGTTTTTGAAGTTGTATACGATATACAACAGATGAGTACTTCGACGCAATATTTCTACAATTGAAATTTGATTTGGAGTTTCAATAAATCTTTCGAGTAGATTTATAACTAACTCGAGTTTGATGGCAATTGTCCACAATCCACTTGTGAGTGCGAATCACTATTGCGAGCCGCGTTAATGAAATAAAGTAATTCCTAATTTGAAAAGGGGTTTTGAAAGATCAATCGTTTATTTACGGGCTGGCCATTCGGTATAAGGCGCTCTGCCAGTCGGAATATGGAATTGTTCTATTCTGGCCAGTTACGAAATGTGGAACTGACTGTTACATAAGAACTGATCGACTACACAAGATAACGACGTGAGTAAGATAGAGAAAGAAGAGAATTTAAGAGTTGCAGATATATATAACTTGAGGCTACGAAACCTTCTGGACGGTAGATCACCCATTTGCCTTCGGCCTTTACTGCTACTCGTTAGTATGGACAACAGCTTACAATGGGGCAAAGACATGATTGATGAAAGTCCTTGGAGGATGATTCTGGTAGCATGAGTTGTCCATATTGCCAAGGCCTGGTGGGTGATCGGATTCGGTCTTTAATCTCAAAACGCTGCCGGTCATTGAAAGCGCGCGGTTTCCGACTTGAGATACTGAGGGCATGATGCCCCAGGACTCTAGAGTATTTTCTATACCTCTCCTTTTAAGAGCTGGAATTCTCTGACCTAACTATCTCAAGATACGTCAGCAGGCTACCCGTGCCCACTGCCATGTTGCAAGTTGTTGAGTATACACGGTACTATAGATCAGTGATTATCGCATCGTGCATGTCTGAAACATCCGATTCCATGCGCGTAGCTTAGGTCCATTATACATAAGAATCGACATGCAGTAGCTGAGCTGCCCGACGTCCACCGCGGGATGCCTCCCAAGGGGAGGTCAGAAAACTCAAGACCTCAGTCGTAAGTGATAAAAGTATTTAGGTAAGCTTAAAAAGATTAAGAGTAAAGTTGGCAAGCTCCTTAATAAGTTCACCAACATGTCACTTGGTAGTCCAAGACAGGTAAATATAGCAATTATTTATAGACATTCTCAACAAAACAAGACCATAAGACGAAATAAAACCATGAATCCCCTTGCTGGATCAATCTGCCACTTATCTATCATCTATATAATATCCTTTTAAATATATATATATATATATTCCCTAGCTTTGAACCATATAGGATGGTCTCTAGCTTTTACCTTTTTATCAGAACCTAAGTTTAAACAAAATAGCCTCTATCCAGGCCGATCCTTCTGAGCCTACTAAGCTCCTGTCAATCCAGTGTGTTCCTCCTGCTCGATATCGGGATCAAATGGCGCTCTTCCATGGTCCTGACGAGTGATCCCACATTCCTGGATACGTTCACAGCGATACCAAGTTCTTCGAGACGCTTACCATGGACAAATGCATCTATGATATCTTCGCCTGGCAGAGCTCGAGACCAAGTACACGGGCGTTGCAGAGGCCGGCAGCACTGGCAGGAGTGATCATTCGGATCATAAACGCATTTAGTTGTCTATGTATGTTAGCTCTGGAATCTGGTAAGAATTGGGAGTACGTACAGTGCACTGAGATAAACACATATCACATGCTTTCCGGCCCTGTGTGAAGAGTTCGAGGAGTCTCTGTTCATTATGGTCCATCGTATGGTTGTCAGGCCATGTTAGATGCCGGGATTGAATTCCCTCCAGCACTCGCTTTTGCTAGAGATGATCGTAGCGCAGGAAATTGACCTTCGATGGCAGTGATTGATGCAACCAGTTGAGGCTGTTAGTGTAGGAAACCTTTTCGACGTCGCAGAGCATGCCAATTCCAAGACGATAGATGTACAAGGCAGGGTTTGTTTTGCTCAAACCACCAGCACTCTTGCATATTAACAACATAAGCCTACACAAATAACACAAAAATGGGACGAGATTACGCGCAGCGGCAATAGAAATATCATAGGAGGCATCATACACGACGCCTTAAAGCATAGTAACCTTAATGTTAAAGCTCAACAAACTACCTAGTACATAGCTACCATCCCAAACCTTAAACACCCAGCCGAACAAGTGGTCTCAATTTATGAACATAAAAAGGATGATTCTCCCCTTGCTTCAGGCCAAATTCTCTCTTAGTTATCAACCTCCAAACACAATCGCCACCAATGCAACTACCAACACTAATTACTATTCTCAACCGGCACTGCGCCGTAATCCTAAGTTCTTTGGTTGATTGACCGCAACTATATCTTTATACTAACGCCAGCTGGTGCCTATAAAGCCCTTGCGGCACCAATTGAAGTATGAGGAATAGGCTAACAAAATAAAGGTCAATCTTAACATACTGGGCCAACTTGCACATATTGTACCGAATAGGGATAATAGACCAGGCGTTCTAGCAAAAAAAAAAAAAAAAAAAAAAGATAAAGTTAGCTAGGAGAATGTGGATAAGGAGGCAAGAGCTTATGTTCTTGCCAACCTGTATGATAATGTCTTCCAAAAGGTTAAAGATTTTGAATGGGATTAAACTTATACTGTAAAGAGACTTAGGATGCTGTTAAAGTTGCACTTAAGAATATGCTAGCGGCAAGTAAAAAGCTTCTGCAATCTTTTATTAACTTAAAACTAGAGATACATTTATTAATAGGGACCTATATCGAAAAGATTAATAAGATATAGGATTAACTTACTATCCTTTATAGGAAACTCCCTGACGACCTGAATTTAGTTCTTATACTTAAGCGTATTAAGACTTCCCATCCGGTACTATATACCGATTTCTAGTATAAGATAGAAGAAGACTAAGGACACCAAGGAGACAAAGAAAACCGATCTATTAGGTTCCGAGATCTCAGTTTTCACCTCAGAAGAGATTTGGAGAGAAGTCAGAGCCATGTTCAGCAACATGGCCAGAAGCTTATCAATCTGATAGTTGACGACAATGATCCCGACTGCTCGATTGTCCACCAAGCCAACATGAGACTATCCACAAAGCAATGTGTCGGATACGTTGTCCTCACTTGAGACCCAAGAAGGTAGGATGATTTTCGTGTTAATATCCTCCTTTTTGGTTATATGGTTAGGCTAAGGTGTGATGTTGCATCCCTCAAGCATCCACTTTAGTTTTTACGTGCTGTTGAAGGAATCACGTAAAGACCAGCATAAAAGAAGCTAGAACCAGCAGATAAATAGGAGAACCATACAAGTTTCAGCCTCAAACTCAAATTACCAAGTCGTCAAGTGATATACGTATTTTTACGCATAGAATATAAGGTATATCTACACCTACTTGTATATCCCTAAGGCTGTATATTTAAATGGCTATCCTGCCTTGTTGCCTGATAAATACCTAGGTCATTTGAGCTGCCAAGATGATGATAAAGATTATGCTGTATAATCGACTAGAATTACTTGGCAGCCTTATCAGTCTGTTTTAGAATAAAGTGCTTCAGAAAGTGGTATGATATCTTTCACTCCTATTCTAGGTGAAATCATTTCGAAGATTAATATCTCTTTGTTCTTGTAGGTCTCGTTTCCGCATGAGAAAAGAAGGATACGGGTCCTAATGAGGTTATGCCGAAAGTATACTCACTTCCAACTGCCAACAACCGCTTCACATAGGCCGCCAGATGCTATAGATTGCACTACATTCCCCAATTTACCCGCTGAGCGAAAGGTGTCGGCGTGATCGAGTTACTCACTGGGCTACAATGTCACGTCATCATAAAATAGTAACCGGACAATAGTCCTGCCTAAGAGCGCAGCTTTTATTGTGACTAGAAAGATTCAAGGACTGCTCCTATCTTGCCGGTACAAGAGTCAAGGCGTTACCCGATGCTTACGATTTGGCCTCCATCATTACCTCAGTCGTCACTCCTCATCAACACAACACATACTCTTAGAGTCGAAGCTACTTTGGAGGAGCAGTTTCCTACCAATGTAGTCCTATTACCTGTTTCAG